TTAAGGATTTTAAAAAAAAAAACATTTCAAAATCTGTATCAATATTCCCATTATAGCCATGGACAAACCATGTGGATTTATTGTTGTTATTCAAAGGGGTCAAAAATGTGATTGCTTAAATAGTTAATTCAAAATTTGTGGTATGTATGATATATTAAAACTTTTAGATTTTAAAATTCGTTTGGAAATCTGTTGTAATATCTGCCAAAATAATGATTGACGAATCATTTGAATTTATGGTGGAATCATCATTAATTGGAAGGTTCAAAAAGTGATTACTTAAATCTTTGATTCTAAATTCGTGGTATGTTTTTAATGTCACATTATGACATTGAGATTTTAAAATCTATTTATAAATTTGTTGCAATTACTGCCAAAAATGCCATTATCATAACAGAAAATTTTTTAATTTTAGAGTTATCAGAAAATTAATGAAAATCGACTTAGCTTAGGACATGCAATAATATGTCCAATACATTTAAGTAAAATTTGCTCAAATTAAAAAAAATAATATAATATTAAATAAAATGCATTTTAAAATGCTCAAAGGAACATAATAAATAAATTTTTGTTTCCTGCATCGTTGATTCTTAGAGGTGTTTTAATATTATTAAAATCCAGTAAAAAATCTTATGTTATTCAGATATGTCATTCCAAAAAAATTTGATTCATCTCTTAAGCAATTGATTTAAAAACTATTGTTATTTGTATGTCATATTGGTTTTAATATTATGACTGTAGTATCCATATAATAATTTACTACTGACAAAAATGTTTAGTTTCAATACTTATTGTATTTACATTTCAGAATTATTGAAAAAATTTTGAGTTTTTCATTAAAGAAATACTGAACCAAGTTACACATTTTAATAAAAATCTAAATTACATTTGTAATATGAATTTATTAAGGGTTTCTTAGTTTTTTAATTCTTTACATATCTTTATAAAGTCAGTATGATAATATTAGTCTTGTTTTTCATTGAAGAAATACTGAACCAAATTACACATTTTAAAAAAAATCTAAATTACATTTGTAATACGAATTTATTAAGGGTTTCTTAGCCTTTTAATTCTTTACATATCTTTATAAAGTCAGTATGATTATATTAATCTTGTTAAGATTTTGTTGAATATATTTTTATAAATAACTAAAATCTTATTTAAATCTAAAAAATACACTTGGTAACTTTTTTAAGTTATAGTTTAATTAATTGCAATTTTGAATTAAAAGTAATTTTCAAAATAAAGAGTAATTCAATGTTGAATCTATATTTAAAATTGTGCATGAGTTGTTATTATCAGGGCTGATTGTGCTCCGGAAAAAATCCGGATTTCCGGATTTTTAGCTAACAGTGATCCGGAAGTTTCTGGAGATTAAAGGTCCACACGTTTAAAAAAAAATCCTTGATCACAGAAGTTTCCGAAAATCAAATTTTCAAAGGTGGAACTTAAAAGCTCAGTTTATTTTATTTGTTTGTAAGGGAGAGCCAGAGAGATACTATATAAGCTTATATTCATGATTAATATTCATTTTTTATCAGTAAATAGTTGTTATAATCATAAACTCAAGAAAGAAAGACATATTTGTAAATTTTAATTACTTCTCCAGCTCATCATAGGTATAGGTGTGTGTAAAATTTTAAATATATTTTAATTAAACTAAGAAATATTGAGAAAAAGGAAGAAAAAAATCTTGTTTAATTTTTTTTCTAATTTTTCAATTGAAATTTTTTTATTTTTAAGTTAAGAAATTTTCCGAAATTTTAGCTTGGGCTCACAATCACCCCTGTATTATAGTGACTGATATAATTATAATAGGTATTAACTGAAATAAAACTTGAGCTATGTGCTAAATACTGAAATTAATGAGAAATGCTACTTATTTGTTAAGGAGAAACATATTAAATTGCCATACTATTATAGATGCCAGTGATGTTTAATTAATTTTCGTATAGATACTACTGGCATTATAGTAATTGGTGCAGTATCATTTGTTACCAAACATACTAATATAGGTAGTAAGTACTATATTAGTGTTTTTGATACCTAATTAAACTGCACAATTAATTTTCTTTTTATATAGATTCTGTAGAAATAGGTTTTTTATGACCCCTTGAAAGGAATAAATATCGGAAAAAAAAAGTGCTAAATGTAGTAAATTGTGATTATCATGAGTTTACTTCGTGCAGTAGCTTCGTGCCAAATGATGTTATTAGTTATCCTCTATTTTGATGGGATCTACTATAAATGTGCTTTTCTTACTCTAGAGTAAAGCAAATGGGAAAGACAACAAATAGTAATCTTTATTAGTTTGGTCCACATGTTTTTCAGTTTTACGCAGTATTTCATGGTGGTGTTCAATATTTATTTATTGATTATTTACTTTTTTTTCACCCCATTTGTTGAAGAACAAGTATTTAGTTAGTTGATTAATGTTTTGAATAAGGAATTCAAATCTATTCACTTTGGTTCCATAAATATGCAGTTCCAAAAAACCAAAAAAAACTGTTATCCAAATTCCGAAGAAAGTATAATAACTAAGGATTTTAAATATGCTTATTAATTACTTTACAATTCCACTTAACATACAAATAAGCATTTAATATCTAAATGTGAGTAAAAGTTTCTCCCTTGATTGTCAGTGTACGTAAAAATGTCATATATCAGCATTATTTACATTAATGTCATTATTTAGCAGAATACAATTTTTTGTATTAATATCAATCAAATGTTATAAGATAAACATTTCTTCTTTTTTTACTTATTGAATCAATACAAATTTTATTATAATTGAGTGTAAAATATTCAATGCAACATATTTTTTTCAATTAAAAATATTTAAAATTAATAGAATAATGAAAAGGAATGACAAATAAACTGCATAAATATAAACATAAAATAGTAAAGATACATAATAGTACTAAAGGTGTGAACAATTAAGAATAAATTAACTTTTGGGCATTTATTTTAACTTAATGAAATTTTAACTAGACCAATATTCTTATTGACCTATTGCAGCATTTAAAAATTAAGAAAAAAATCATTTTAAAATATTTTAAATTAATTTAGATTATTTGTTCCTATTGTTTTCTTAATATTATATAAAAAAATATAATTTGAAAATATACAATAATGAATGTTATCATACTGTATTTATTTTGTTTACACTGGTAACAGAAAACATTTCTTAAATTGCACATAAATTAAATCTTGTAAAGTGCTTTATTGCCATTTATACTATTGATTGATTGTATCGATCATATTTAACAAAATATAAAAATAAAGTTTGAGAAATTTTAAATCATTCTATAATTAATTACACTATTTAACTAATTTTAAAGAAAGTGTGGGAACCTTGCAGTGGCGTTGTCATGAATGTGGATAAAGTACTTTCTTGTAAGTAATTTAATGCTGACTATAATCAATTTATCTAACTTGTTCACTGATTTGCTAAATGCATCATCATCTAATAAAATTACTACTTAATTTTATTTTCCTGTACAAAATATAATAGTGTTTTGGTTGGTTTATAGAAAAGATTACAATTTTAAAAATATGGTTGTAATGCTGCAAGAAATTAAAAAAAAAAAATTACTTATGCATGTTGGATGAGTTTTGAGAGACTTGCTCGATTGCATGCTTAACTCAAGTTTGTAGCTGATTCTTTTTAATGTAAATTATCCACTTGTTTTTGGATAATTGTTGTGGAACTCCTTGCATTGATTTGCATGTTTCCTCTCTACTAACTAATCTTGGCCATTGTGCTAAAAGCAAACATTTTCTTCACGTTTTCTTTTATTTCTAGAAACAATTAAGAAAAAGATCTATTTGTGCAGTTTCAGGTGAAAGATTGTCAGAAAATCATTAGTTTATTCTTCTGAATGATGGTAAAAATTATCCTATATTTTATTTATCAAAATATTTTTTTCCTTACTTTATAAGTGAATTAATTGCTTGTTTTTAACTTAGTACTGAGTTAATAACTACTATTCAATTTGCAATTTTAAAATGATATCTAATTTTCCAATTTTGTATGGTTTTTTAAGTTGTTTGAAACTGTGAGGTGCATTTTGGCCCCTTTTTTCATTGTAATAATCTGAAACTTATCAAGTTAACTTTTATTGTCAAGCTTATCAAGCTGACCTTTATTATCAAGTCTTTATCCTGTGTAAAAATATTAGGGAAAGCCTTTACCTTTTTTTTTTTTTTTTAAAAAAAAACCTCATAAAAGAATTAAGTTTACAAATATATATATATCTCTGTTTAAATTCAATATTTTTTTTTCAATAACTGTTGCTTTAAAAATTAGCCTAATTTTAGCTTCTTCTGTTTATTTTATTTTTCTTAACTAATTCCTGGCATTTTCTCTTCGTAACTTTTTTTTTGTTTGCTTTTTTGATCTTCATAAAAACTGTTAATCTTTAGTACTGCAAAAATGAATTATATAGAAGGCATTTTAGTATTCAAAAAGTATTTTTAATGTTTAACATTTCTCTAAAACCCACTTAACTGGAGTTGAATGTTATACAAAAAAAATTTTTTTTTAACTGAATATATGATAAAATTTCCCTTATTTGTGAGGTAGTTTTTGTATAACTGGATGAAAGTTAGCCAATTCTTATCAAGGTCATACTCCCTCCCATAAAAAAATGTTCAAGGTATGAACTTGGCTATGTTGCGGCCCGTCCCTAGTGAATGTTTTGAATTGCAGTTCTTGGTTTGGACACTGATAAGTTGAAAACCCTCGGTTAAGCTTACTCGTTAAAGATTTTGTCCACATGTTCTTTAACTAGATTTTTATAGCTTTAATAGTTTAATCAAATAAATTCTATTCCAGGTTATGTTTAGTTCTAGTGAAATCTATGTTCTTTTTTGTATGGTAAAAATTTACCAAATACCCTCACAAATTATTGTCAAAAGTAATTTTGTCGAATAATATTTTATTTTTTATATGCAGTGTGGGTATTGTTGCTAATTTCATTTTTTAAATTTCATTTCAGGTTAAATGCGTATGCTAATATGCCTACTCCAATGAGGCTAAGGGACTTAATTCGTCAAATTCGCGCTGCACGTACTGCTGCTGATGAGAGAGCTGTAGTTCAAAAGGAATGTGCTTACATTAGATCTTTATTTCGAGAAGAAGATAACACTTGGAGATGTCGTAATGTTGCAAAGCTATTATATATTCACATGCTTGGTTATCAAGCCCATTTTGGCCAGGTATATTTTATATGATATTTTGATTTTTATATGTATATTTTTGTGTGTTATGCATTTAAATAATGTATTCTATATGATGGTTTTATAGAGGTTTTTTTATATGGTTAAAGATGAACTCCACCCAATTCAAAGTAACTTTTCAAGCAGGTGGGGAATGGCAATCGTTGAGAGGCTAATCAGATGTACCTTGATGATATTCGAAGCAAGTTTGATACTCATTTATTAGAGGAAAAAAGGGACTTTTTTGGTGCATTGAATAAATTTTTCTTTTACGCCTAACTATTTTATTACCATATTAAAAAATGACTTTTAAATATATAGGCTTATCCGAAGATTTTTTTTTACTACTTCGGGAGTTTGTCTCAATTCGATAAACTTAAAGTCTCATCACTAGAATTTCCTCCAATGATCATTATTTTTTAGTTTTCAAATTTAGTTTAAAAACCTGTAATGCTTTTGTTATTGTTGTGTATAAAAGAATCAAGCCATTTAATTTTATTTGCATTTCTTGAATTGGGCTTTTGTGTACATTGAATTGTTTTGATAAGGCCAGCTTATAGATAAGAGCAGCTAAAGATACAGTAATTCTGCTTGAAAGCTAAATCACATCAGATATACATAAAAATGACCCTCCTTCTCTAATAAATCACAAGATAGGGTTTTATGAGGGTCCATCATACCATCAGTACCCAAAAAAATACTATTGACAAATTTCAAAGTTTGAACCCATTATTTATAATAATATATACATGGTTAGATTCAAGAATAATTCAATGTGTAATTATAAAAAAATATAGATTTTTGCTTTGTTTTGATTCTTTTTATTATACTTTTTCATTATGTATTTTTACACTTACAAATTTTTGTTATTAGTATTTTATTATTATTATTTGATAAATTTAATGTGTTTAGAATGTTTATTTTAGTAATTGCTTTTCATTCTCATGGCAGGAAAGGATTTGCGCATTATCACGAGCGGGGACAGGTTGTGAGAATAATCTCTAAGTACATATCAACCAATAATCCCAAAGTACCCTTTTTCCTCCATCATTGATTTTCAAAAGGATATAACGTTTAAATTATAAAATTCTAATTCCTTGATATTTTCTTTTTCCCCCTGTGTTCTCATACTTGATTTATTAAGTTCAAGTAATTTTTTATAAAGAGAAGAGATTCTCTATATTTAAAAAGAGTGTACATTTGTGATTTTTCATGTAAATCGATTTTAAATTTGGTACCTAAAATTCTTTGTTTTTTGAAACCGATCATTAATTGATGATTTGCCCCACTTGATTATGGCAGCAGTAGATGAAACTCATTAGATTGCATTTAACTTTTATTCTAGATTGACAAATAAATTTACCATAAGAGCAGCAATCGTTTTCAAAATTAAAAATTATATACCAAGGCTGTTTGATTAATAAAATTAAAAATATTAATATTTATTCTCCTTTTTTCCTCTGACAAATGAATTTACACTGTTTAGAGAATTAGATATTTTTATAACTCGAGTTCATAGCAGTTTATATCTGTTAAGTTTAGTCTATTTTGTAACGAATATGCTATACTCAGTGCATTAATTTTCCTCAACCTAAGAGCTTTGAAAAACAGCCTAAAATGCAAATTTGAAAAACATTGACACAATGTCTGTATAATATTTAAACCATTCCTATATATTTATTTAAAAAAAGTTGCTGCTCTTTTAAGATTGTTTTTTGTTTTAACAAATTAACATTTAATGTTAGGAATAAGTTCTTTATTAAACATAAATTAAAACAGTTTCATTTTTATTTATTAAATTAGCTTTATTTTGGATTTTCAAATTGATTTTCTCTTAATTTTTGTTATTAAATGATTAAACTACTTGTAGTTGGAATGTCTGAAACTCATTGCATCTCCGAGGTTTACTGATAAAAGAATAGGCTATCTTGGCTCAATGTTACTTCTTGATGAGCGGCAAGATGTTCATCTTCTCATCACCAATTCTCTTAAAAAGTAGGTATCAAAATGAAATTTTGAATACTTTTTAATTTTTTCCTCCGTTTTTTTCTTCCTTCTTTTTTGCATACTTTTTAGGTTTGGTTGCTCTTGAGTTAAGGATTTTATATTTTAAAACTTAAGTCACTTAGAAAAATATTCTATAAACTTTCTGGAGACCTTAATTTTGTTTCTTTTATATCTCATTTGATCAAATGAAGATTCTAGTCATGCAGGATCATCAAACAATGATCACAGAACTTGCAGAAAAATTTAGTCATTCATTTACTTTCGTTTGATCTCATTCACCGGTATATACAAATACTCTCCTTGTCATACATTTTATGTCTATTTTTAACAAATTCCTCTTAGCATAGCTCAGTATAACTTTTCATTTTTCTTTAATCATAAAGAGCAATCAATTTTTTCTCCTTTTGCTCCTTGAAAGAATATTGAACTTCTTATTACTTGTAAATTCATGACATAACTACTAGTTAATTCTTCTTGCAATTTTTTTCTTTATAGTACCTGTTTAATTTATGTGTTAAAATTTTGAAATTCATCAAAACTGTATGTTTTAAGCAATAACATACTATTTATATTGGTTTTTAATTTAGTGATCTAAATAGTCAAACACAGTTTATCATTGGATTAGCACTTTGTACTCTTGGCGTGATTTGTTCTCCTGAAATGAGTAGAGATTTAGCTGGGGAAGTAGAAAAACTATTAAAAACTTCAAATGCATACGTTAGAAAAAAAGTAAGTATTTTTTGTTTGTTTTAAAAATAAATTTTAGCTTAAATTAAAATGTGGGATATTAAGTACTGCTTATTATTATTATTTTTTTTCTGATTATGAAATTTTCCCACTATTTTGCCCCTAAAATAAAAAGTATACATATATCTGACTTGTCTCAGATTACTATAACTGAATTCAAATGACTGAGATTCAAATTATCAAGACTGTTCAATATTTTTATTATAGTAAAGATATCTAATTTCATTATAATCAAGTGATTTTGTTTATTTATGCAAAAGTATGAGATAAGTAATATGAGAATAGAATTCTGTGCTGACAGCAAATTTTAACTAAATGTTAGTAGTTCCATTGCAAGACTCCTGAGAATACTGATTTTTTTTTAAATACAGTAGAGAACCAATTATCCGGGATGCTCGGGACCATCGCTATCCCGGATATCTGAATTTCCCGGTTTTCTGGATCGACCAAAAAGTGTCGTTAATCGATGTTTTATCGAACCCTCATGCACATATCCTAATCATATTTGGAAAGATTTCTGTATCGTGATCTGTTGCAGAATAATCGCCAAGTTTTGGCGGCTATTGAGCAATGGCCTTAGAGAAACTAAAAATAAGAAAAATCACAGAAAGTGACCAACTTGAATCGTATCCACCCCCAGGCAAGCACCTACTTGTTTTTTTAAAGTTCAAAATCTATTTGGCACTTTGATTTGGTGATTGTAGTTGGCCCTACAGATAACGATAAGGAAATATCCCCTTATATTTTTTTTAGAAATGAAGAGTTTAAGAATCTTTCATGAGTGCTCAAGAAGTGCTTAAGAGGTTCTAACTTTTTATTCAAAATTTGGCTATGCACCCTGTGTAATTAACTATGTAATCATTGTTATCATGGCTTTTTAAAAACCATGGGTGACATTTTGTGTGGAAAGAAGCTTTAAAAAACTGGAAGAATGAAAAAAATTGGATGAAATGGAAGAAACTAAAATAGTTAAAATTCTCCTTATTGATATTTTAAAAAAATAACTATTTTAATTTTATTTATTTTAATTTTGTGCAGAATACTAAAATTTTACAGCTCTTTAGTTTGGGTAATTTAACAGCGTTTGATTATAGAAATTTATGTGACATTTGTGTTTGTGAATTCAATGTGCAATTTTTTTGTTTTGTTTTTGCAGTAGTGCATACATGGCTTCAATGCGTGATTTGTAAATTTAGTGGCATAGTAAAAACTGCATTATAATATTTTTACAGATTCTTTATATAATTATGTATAACTAGGTTTTACTATGCAAGATATATTGAAGAAAATGTTTTGTGAAATATTGAAAGACTAAAGTTATTCTAATTTCGTACGAAATTCATTAATTTTTACCAGTTTTTACTGATTTAAGAATAGCTAAATTTATTAAATGGCTTTGAAAATAACTTTGTTATTTAAACTAGTTTGCAAATAATTGTTTGAAAAATTGCATTTTGAAAGAGTTTTTTCCACTTCCATTACATAAAACCCATTTCTCCTTTGTGTGTTTTGTTTCCCCTACTGCAAACTTGCCATCCATGTAAAAAAATGTTTAAATATTTGGTCCACTGTAGGAATCTGCAATATTTTTTGGAAGCTGGCCATATTAAAGAAAAATTACTTGTGTACACATTGAAATTGACATCTATATAATTTTAATTTAATTATTTTTTATATAATAAGATCAATATTGATTTTTTTTAAAAATGAAAGGTATAATATTTTTGAACTGAAGAATATTTGAATGTTTGTACAATTTGTTTTCTTTATATAAATTAATCTAAAGTAAGTCTCTAGCTTTCTCTGAAGAAATTTTAATTTTATGATTTTTTTTTTTTCTGTATATAGATGATTTACTTTCAAATACATATAAAATAATATTTTTTTGTAGCAAGAGAATGACTGCATTTTGTTTCCTAAACTCTCTTGATATCCCTTAATTACTTAAAAAAAATTAACAATAATAGTAAGGAGAAGAAAGAAAATTAGATTAGTGCACAATATTTTTATAAAACAGCTCTAAAAAAATTATTCATTTGTCTTTATAATATTGTTCTATTCTGGAATGACAAAATTCACAATTGGTTGCTTCTTAAAAAAAAAGAA